GGAAGGCGATCAATTGCTTGAGCTTCCAGAAACCAAACCCCAGCAAAATAAAGCTACAGTCTTATATATTGGTCGAATACCACATGGTTTTTACGAGAAAGAAATGGAAGGTAAGTGAATTGTGTATAAAAGGAGTGGATATTTGTTTTTTAAATTCTTGCTAACTGGGTATTTTCTTGCAGCTTATTTTAAGCAGTTCGGTGCCATTAAGAGATTGAGGATTGCTAGAAATAAAAAGGTTTTAAGCAATTCTGCCAGCTTCACTATTATGTGCATTCGTTTATATATCTTTCTTTATTTTTTCTTTTTTTTCTTTTTTGCTAGCATATTTGCGCTTACGGGCTGCATGGGGTGTTTTCTTTTATTTGTAGGTACTAGCATTCTAGTTTGATTTTGGAAAAATGCTTTAGAATGAGTGTCTTAGATGTTGTTTGGTGTTAAATTCCTACATATGTTTCTTCTTTTAATGACATTTGCATGTTACAGTTGTTGCTTCTTTGATTTTAAATTTTTACGATTGAAAATTATGGATTTCTTTGTAATTTGGTTGGGTGTGATATCTGCTGAATGTTTTCCACTCATTTTTTTTATATTTGTTCACTTACATTTTGACTAATATAATTACTAAGAAATCACTTTCTCCTGCAATTTTTCAATTTGTGCTCAACAGACAGGAAAATCAAAGCACTTTGGTTTCATTGAATTCGAGAATCCACAGGTTGGAGACAGTGTTTGTTATAATTATGCTTATCGTGATTCTGATTATTTTGACAATAATTCTTGTTGGCTGTAGGTGGCTGAAGTTGTAGCTGATTGTATGCATAATTATCTGTTGTTTGAGCATCTTTTGCAAGTCCATATTATCCCCCCCTGAGCATGTTCATCCAAAATTGTAAGCAATGAGTAATTTTTGAGTGACTTAGATTTCTCATTCATGCATGTTTTGTTTGGAAATTTCTTCTGCTTTTTCTTGAAACGATTTAGTTGTGCTTTATTTACTGCATATTATCCCCAACTATATAATGCAATAAGACCTTGTGTGCCACTGTACTAGCAAGATTTTGTATCTAGGAAATGGTTACGTTTAACCCTTTTTTATCTTCACTTGAGGTTGGAGTGATGGGACGATATTTTAATAATTTAAGAGGATAAGGAGTCCCAGTCCCAAAATTGTATTAAAAAAGTAGGATAAAAACCTTTTGGAAAAAAAATACTGTAATTTACTTGTCAACAGTTAAAATGTGTAACTTGTGTTGGATGTATCCCCCGCTGATTCTGAGCAATCTGAATGGTGAGTAGATGGATTCCTAATGTCGTGGATATGTTAGCCGAGTTAAGAGTTTCTAATGTCTGCTTGTATTTTTTTAATTTATATTTATATGTTTTGGCCCAAGTCCAAAAAATAAACTAGTGAGTTGGAAGGTAGCTTGTTTATGCCAACCATTATTACTCCCTTGCTGGCCAAGCATAGGATTTTCAGTAGTTAAAATACTTTGTGGAGGTGCACAGCCATTTTCCTTGCATTTCTCTGATAAGTTGGTGATTGATTAATCTGTATTCTTTTATATATAGATGGAGAGGTTTCAGTTTTAAATACAAGCCAGGGGATTATGTGCAGATCGAACGACAGCGGCATAATAAGGTAATCATCAGAATAGGAAAGTTTTCTGACATATTTTTATTTAAATGACTAGTTGATTTGTTGATTCCATTTTTTAAAATTTTCGTCTGTTTTGCTATGCAGGTAAGAACGTTGGAAGAGCATAAAAAGTTGGTGGAGAAGATCCTAAAACAAGTTGTGAGGCGTAGAAAGAGGATAGAGGCTGCTGGCATTGATTATGAATGCCCAGAAATTGTAAGAATCTGCCTCTGCAGTATTTTCCTTGCTTTAATCCTTATTACTGAAACTTGTTAATCTATAGGAACACATGGGGTAAAGGTGAATGAACATTTTGTATCTCAACACTTGCTTAGGGTTTTGCTTTGTGAACTAAGAGTTTAACCATAGCTTTCATTACATGTGGATCGGTTATCGACTTGAACAACTTGCTTAGGACCTTAACTTCTTACCATGGTGCATCACTTTTTATTCTTATTCCAAGAATCTGTGGTTTTGACATGGACTATGAAAATTGACAAGAAACATTACTCATGCTGATAAAGCTTCAGATGCTCCTCCTTTTGTCCCCTTTTGGAAGGATGATTTACTTGTGACAAAGGGAAATCTATTATTTAATGCAATCTTCCTTTCCATTAAGATGCTTTTAGTTGAAGGGGCATTTTAACGTGGTCCTTCCTGTTTTCAGCTGTGAGCCTGTGACTACAACTATGGGTGTAGTTTGACTGTAAATAGAGATATAGCTTCATAATCTGTCAATATATTTGCATCTGTGATCTCCTTCTCCAATCATGTTATTCTTTGATAACAAGATTTTCTGGAATTGTGTTTGCTTAGATGTGTGCTGGTTGACATTTTGCAGGTGGGTAGCGTTCAGCCTGCTCCTAAGAAGATCAAGTTTGATGAAGATTAAGCACTGGTAAGGTTGTTAGGCTTTATCCTGTTGTATCCATGGTATTTTATTTTAGTGAGTTGATCAAGTTTCTAATTGCTAAACTTCATGGAAACAGCCTCCACACCAATGCTGAACTATGAAGTTAATGTCTTCCACAACACCTCTCCTTAGAAGCTCAAATTTTCAGTTTAGTGTCGTACTTCGGCTGTCAACAACTGGTATACCCTATAGGCCCTGCAACAACTGTCAGGCTGTCATATGTAATTTTAATCATTTTTGTTATATATTTATGAGTTACGATTGTTAAAATTTTTTATGGCCGATTTATTGGAAATTAATAATTGAGATTAAAAATTTAAGTAAAGATATTTTATTTTATTTTTTCTGCATTTGTTTTCATTTTTTATTGTTAGTTTTAAACATTCATTTTTGCTGTAATGATATATATATATATATATATATATAAATAAGAGACCCTAACGAGCCAGCTGATACTTCTGCTTTGGGTAATGCTAAATAGAACACTCTTTTACCATCGAAGGGCAAAGATATCAAATACATATCTGATATACCCTGTAGTTTAGTTTAGGACACGTTTACAGTTGTAGTAATTGATGATTCCATCGACAAAATGTTTTCATTTCAATTTCGATTAATTTAATAAATTCTACGAGTGGTTAATGACATTACCCCCTAGAAATGGCAAAAATGTATTAAGATGAACTATTATACATCACTGGAAGTTGACACAGCCACCAGGTTCTTTCGGTTTGCCCGTAGATTGGTGCTGCAATCACGCATTGGCCATTTCAGGGCTGCTTCATGTAATTATGCTTTCTTACATGTATGGAATCCAGTTGAGCGACATGTAAATTAAAATTGCACTAATTCGATTCATCGAACTCAAATCATTAACAGTGCAACGATTTTTTTTTAAATAAATTCTAATAATTTAAGTGTGTAGTGTGCAAACGACATCTGAGAACATGGTGGGTCAAATGACACATTACAAGCAGTGCGACCTGTATATTCCATCCATCAACGTGCAATGCTTCGGTAGAACCGGATCCTGTCTTCCAAGTGAAAGTACAAAAACCCTTTCATCTCTGACGAATATTTGACTCCTTCCATTCAGAATCGTGGTTCTTCTTTTCTCACTCTAAGAAAACCCAATGCAAATGAGTGATCAGAACGACCTGCCTGATCTCCGGCTAGAACTCATTTTCTGGCAACACTACCTCAACCCTCTGAACCATACTTGGCTTATATATATAAACATGGCTCCATTAGCTGATCCATACAATGAATCATTCATTTCGATCAACAATGGGACGGCAATGCCAAGCGGTTTTCTTAGACCATAATCATCTACCGAGTGCCTCAGCTTCTGGTCCCTTGTGCAACTCTGTTTGTAGTTGAAATGGTGGAAACAGTGGATGTCCTAGCCTAGCCCCTGGGCAACATACTCTCACTCTGCTTTAGATCAGAATCAGACTTGATTCCATGTTCAAGGAAGCCAATCAAAAGGCACCATTGTGGGATGAAGTGTCTATATGTATATCATTGGTTTGATCATCTGTATTTATTATTTACTATAATACATTGCATTAAACTCACTTGAGTTTTCATCTATTTTTCTATTCTTTTACTTAGACTTCCATACCATTTCATTCGTGATACGGCTATATTCTGAAACTAGGGGTTAGTTTTTTTTCAAGGTTTATCATTTGGGTTAGTTTTAGGTTTAAGGTTTATTTTACGAAAATTTATTTTCGCTCATATGTTATAATTCTTCTACGAAAATTTATATATAACATTAAGATTTATTTTAAAACATATCTATGATGGAGAGTTAAGAGTAATTTCAATATTATGATATAATATATAATGACAATGTAATAAGTATGTTAATTTTGACACTTTAATTGTAATTAATAAATTTTTGTAAATAATTTCCCACCTTGTGAGGCTAAAAGTCAGGGTCAACTAAAACCACAACACAAGCTCTATACCCTTTTTATTAATTTAGGGTAAATTACTTATTTGATCATTCATCTATTATTTAATTTTTATTCTGATCATCCAACTATTTTTTTTTTCAAAATCATTCATAACATTATTTTTTGGTTCAAATTTCAGAACCTACTATTAAAAAATTAATAGTAATACTAATGTGCCATCATAAAGTAAGGCACATCAATATTGAAAAATAAAAAACTACATTAATATCATTATTAAATTTTTAATGGCAAGTAACTAAAGCATAATGTTATATGTGATTTTCAAAAACAATAGTTGAATGACCAAAACAGAAACAAATTTTTTTGCTGAGTGGCACTATGCAACGCAACACATTGAACTTGACGAATTCAGAAGATGACCAAACTCAGTGATTGGTTTACCCAAAATAAACAAATAGGGGTTGACCTTAACCCTTCACCATCACATTACAGCGGTGTATGCTGACCCTATTATCTTTTGTTTTTTTTAAGTGTGGATTATTGACAACCCACATCCACCAATGCAGCAATTTGCGTCATCTTTCATGAGCAATGTCGGCGTTTGGGGCGGTGGAGGGCGGCGGTGGCGGAACCATGTAATCTTCTTCTCTCTTTCTTCTTTTGGTGAACGATCATGGAGTGCCACTACCAATGCTGCTCTCCCTCCGTTATAGGACCTCTTCACAGGATTTACGTTACCCTATTTCAAAGCATAATATTTATATTTTAAAATTTTGTTAAAATTATATTTTTTGTTATATTATATATGACAAAATTTAATATATATTTATATTCAAACAAATAAATTAAAAATAAAAATAAAAAAGATTCTCTCTCCTACTAAAGAGATCATTTAGCATTTTGCCAGACATATTTTATTTATAAAAAAAAGTGATTATCTCTTAAAAGCGCTTTTTATTATGTTATTATTTTTTGTTTAAGAAAAATATTTATCATCATATTATCACCGTTTTTTAAATTATTTGGAGCATTGTGATCCGTAGGATCCATGTGACTAGAGGTGAAATTAATTTTGGTCAAATTAACTAAAAATAGTTGGTGACCCTAAGTATAGTTTATGTATCTATAAGATTATCACTATTTATAATATTATAAAGTGTAAACTATGTCTTTAATCACCTGATTATTACTTTAATTTCATTTTGGTCAATCAACTATTTTTTTTCCAAAAATCATTAGCAACATTACATTTTAAAAAGTATACTAACAGATCAAGAACAAAAAATACAGATTCAAACAAACTGTTCCATGAACAAAATCCCAGATCAGGCGATCCATTTAGCCCAAATAATCTTTCAAATCACAAGGGAAACACCGATGACGCCTCCAGGCATTACCATGCAACTTCAACATGTCCAGTACCCTTTTCTTGGTCGAACACAGTCCCTCCAAATGCAACAATGTCACCAGCTTCTTCACTGCTCCGTACATCAGCATTTCCTCCAAAAACCTTTCCGTCGGCTGAAAACTACCCGCCAAACACAAAATTTTCACCCCGAGTTTAGTTGCCGTACGCGAAACTTGCAGCAAAATTTTCGAAACAACGGCGATTCCTAAACCGTGATCCACTAACGCCGTCTTTCCCTCCGGACATTCACATAACAGCTTCATCAAGAGCAACATTTTCTCGCATTTGGACCGGTTGGAGTCCGGTAAAAGCTCGATGAGGACGCAAACGGCACCGGCTTCGATGGCCTTCGATCGGCTTTTCTTGGACGATGCTAGTATTTCGAATAGAAGCTCAAGTGCATATGTACTTGCCTTGCTGCATATCTCATCGCAGACCAGTTCTAATAATGACTTAAACAGGTCTATACCTCGATCTTCAACTAATTGGTTCCAATCGAAACCTGTTTTAGCTATCTTTCTAAATATGACTATGGCATGAAACCTGGCTTCGGAACTCCCACGTTGAAGCACGGCTGCTATCGATTTCATCGGTTCCGATTTCGCTAACACTTGAAACGCTTTGTCTTGTTTTGATAAAGGTAGTAGATGTAAGAGACCTAGAGCTTCCTCGCAGGATTGAAAACTATCGAGATCGCAGTTGTCGTCGGTGGTCTGATTAACAAGCATTCGAACAACAGCCTCGACACCACCGGAGTTAACGAACTCAGACCTCGTATCATCTCCCAGTTGGATTATCGCCCGAATTTTCTTCAAACAAGTTACTTTGAAAGGAGAAGAATCGAGGGCGTTGAAGAGGGAGACCATCTCACCGTGCTTGACAAAAGGCTGAGCCGGAGACGACGACAACGGAGCAGCTGCAAGTGTTTCCCGCCATGCAAGGATGAGACTCTTGAGCGTGTGATTTGGGGTCACATCGAAATTGTCGAGGGGTTGCATGGTGGCGGGACAGGTTTTCTTTTTGTAGACGTTGAACCATTTGTCAATGTGCTTCCGTTCGTAGGAAACTCCGGTGACGATGGTGACCGGCTCCTTCATGATTTCCCTTGATATGGGGCATCTGAAATCTGGGGGACAATCTATGTTCTCCATTGATTAAAAGCGAAGCAATAGATCAAGCAAAAGCCATAATATATATATATATATATATATATATATATATATATACACAAATATGGAGTATCGATGATGGTGTATCATAAAAGTAAATGGAGAAGATGTGCTGTAATCATGTTGTCCAAATCTTCTACTACAACTAAGGAAATAATCAAAGTCAAAGGTATTGAATACGCAAATTGCAAACTACATGGAAATTGGGAACCCAATAAGTCAGCTAATTGCTAATTCCCAGCTCCTTTTCGAGTTTGATTTTTTTGCAATCTGACGTAAAATAAAACTATTATTTTTTAAAATTTTGAATTCAATTACAATTTTCTTTGTTCACGCCTCGTTATGAATATATATGATACTGATTAAATGTTCACCTTCAGATCCAAAATTATCAACTTATATGATAAATTCTGGATTACATTATATAAACGTTATATAAATGTCCAACTTTAGATCCAAAATTATCACAATTTTCTATAAACTTTGTGATTGTATCACATTATATTCAAATTTATTAGATTTGATATTAATTATACGTTTTGTTTTTTTTTTATTAAATAACATATTTATTATAACTTTCTCTTTCAATTACACGTATCTATACTTGATCGTTAATATTCTACAAACATAATTTTCAAACTTTTTAAAAAATAATATTTCTTTTCACCTTTGAAGTCGTTCAATAAACCTGAAGTCACTTTGTATAAGAAAAATAATATAAAATTCAAGAAATTGCTCATATTTTACATCCTAGATCTTATGATAATATTATATTCAATTTGGGCTAAAGGGTCAGACATTTTATGTCATATTTTACATCCCAGAAACAATTTTTTTTCTCTAAAAAACGGTTTGTTTATTCGAGGAAAAATTCAACACTTTCAGCCTTTCAAAGCTAATTAACTAAGCAAACTGGATGATGAATGTGACTTGAGTTGGATAACCTACAGTTGACAAAGGGAACGAGAAGACTTACTCTTCAGTTTATTCCACTTTTCAAATTTACGTTAAAAAACTATATTACTTTTATCCTTTACAAATTTAAAGAATTTTACATTTTAGATCACTTAATTTTATATTAATTTCATGTATAAGGAATTTTTAAATTCATCAAATCATGCGTTCAAATTTGATTCTTAACTGATCAAATTCGTCATTGCATTACTTATGTTAATTTCAATAAATAATTTTAATATAAAACTTGTCTTTACAGACAATAATATTTGTTCTAAAGATTCTGAACTATTTGGCAATAAAAGTTTAAATATTTTACCTTTGCTAGTGTTTGAATCCGGAATCTCTAAGAATAATAATCATCTCTTTTTAACACCTGAGATCATTTAGTTCGTGCCATATGAAATTTATTTTTAAAACATAATGAAATTTAAGATATCATGATAAATCATAAACGTGTGAATTGATTTTTATCGATTTATTTAAAAATTTTGATATAAATAATTTAATTCATTAATGATATAATTTGATGAAATTAAAATATCATAACTTAGATAGAAGTTAAATAATACGTAGTGCAAATTAAATTATTTCTGTAAATATCGATTGCTCGAGGATATTGGTTCTTAATTCACTAATGGAAAATCAATAGTTCATGTTATTGGAAATCTATTCTTGAATATGGTCTGGGAAATAGAATCTGCATCGCATCAGTGGCACAAGTATACGAGGCCAGAGGGGGCATGGCCCCCAATAGTATGAAAATTTGTCATATGCCTTCTATTTTATTTTAATTAAACTTTTTTAAAATATTTTAAAAATATTCATTGCCCGTAATTTTTCTTAATATATTTTTTATTAATTTAAAGTGATTGCAAAATAATATCTATCGTGAGAATGTAACCCTGTTGTGCGTTGGTTTGCAATCATTTTTGTACAAAAAAAATATCTGCTCTGTTTAACATTCTTACCATTAACAGAACACTTGCAAACACAACTAATCGAACTCAAATCTTTAAAGAAAATAGTAATACATTTTACCATTGAAATCTCTCAATGAGTTCAAAGATCATTTATTTTTAATAAAGTAATTAATCCACTATCTTTTATATTAAAAATGATTAAACTATATCAAATTTTAACTTATCTGACATCGTTGCTAAAATTATAGACAACAACGTTATGATAACCCATGTAATGTTTTTATAATGAGCATTGAACTTTGCCTGTATTGTATTTCTTAACAAAGATAAGCCTATTAAATAAAGAAATTTTCTTCACAACTCGAGACGTGTCCGTCACAAAATTTCATCAGCAACACCACACGAAATTCGTTGTGCATCAAAGAAATCTGTATCTAAGACGTGTTTCACAGCAAGGGGAATAGGAATTTGCAAAGCATGGATTGACAGAAAAGTTCATGCAAGTTGTCCATATAGCAAATGATCAAAGTTCAACCGCGAAATTGACAGTTCAATCGATTCAAGTTCAACAAACAAAGATAACAGAAACAGTTCTAGCTCATACCAGACCATGATTTGACAATGCAGTCCATGCATCCAATCGCAAGGTTGAGAAAAACCTGAGGGACAATGCTAATTCTTCAGTCCCTTCAATGGAGATGGTAAGCCCTTATCGTCAGGTGACTAGTGTTTAATCGTTTTATGACCACTTGCCACCGTCCTAATTAATTATTCTACCATTATTGCGTCTCCTTTTTCCTATTTATTTCGGATTTGAGAATTCTCTTGCTATTACGTCTACCGATTTTTCAGCATTTGAGTACCAAGATATAGGGATGAACAAAAGAACAACAACAAAGATTTAGGGGTGGACGACCCTAAAGAAATTTCCCCTATTAATTATTGACACGCGTTTTAGGGTTGGTTCACAATCTTTTTTTACTTAACAATTTTCTTCAACCATTTAATGGATAATAATTTGGTAGTTTTTTTGGGGGGTAAACTCTACATATAATCCTTTATATTTTTGGTTTGTTTGATTGTAGTTACTAGTTCAAAAAAAAAAGAACAATTTTGTTGAGTTAATCGATCGACGGAATTAGCCAAGAGGGAGGTGAATTGGCAATTAAAAATTCGGTGGAAGCTTTTGCAGAAAATTGAAAAGATTTGCACAGCGATTTAGAGTGGTTCGACTTTCTCAATCAAAGTCTACGTCCACTACCTTAGCTCCCACTAAGGATTTTCCAACAAATTCACTAATTTGTTCTTTCTTTTGAGGCCAAAGAGATAACCTTACAACACCCTCAAGAATATACTCCAATTCTTGAGAACACTCTTTTCCCAAAGAGAAGATTACAAATTTGCAAACTTACAAGGAAAACCTCACAAGGTAAGATGTTTGCACAATTCTAGAACAAGAAAAGAACACTCAAAGATAATTACAAATGAGCACAAATGGTGTTCTTGAAAGCAAAATGAATATTGAAAGGAAAATTGGCTTGATTTGCATAAACTTGGTGTTTGATGCTTTCTCTCTTGTTTCTCTATGATTTCTTGTTGATCAAGGGCTTCAGAACTTGTTTAAATACACCTTGAATCACTTCTGAACATTGGGGATGATTAGTGAAGATCATATAGCCGTTTTAGTGTGAAAACAATTAATAAAACAGTTTGGAGCGTGGGGGGAATCGGTACCCCTTATGGGGAATCGGTTCCCTAAGTGTAAAATTCAAATATTTCGATCGTTTGAACAGGGGGAATCGGTACCCCCTATGGGGGAATCGGTTCCCTCCGAGCATTCTGGAAATCTTGGAGCCAAACCATTCAGGGGGGAATCAGTACCCCCTTAGGGGGGAATCGGTTCCCTCTGAGCAATCTGGAATTTTTGACTTTGAAATGGTTCGAAATACTTTGAAAGATTATTTTGAAATTGTTTTAAGATTAAAACTTAATTTTACACTTAAGTAAGGATTAAAAATGATTTTTGAAATATTTGGAGTAATGTTTTGATATTCGAATAATTATATCGAATATACTTAGAAGATCATTTTGGAAAATCTTAAAATTCATTTAACTTAATTTGTTATATCGAAATATCAAAAAGTTTTCAACAAATTTTAATTTTTAACGTTATCGATCTCTTCGGTTTTAATCATTCAGCAGTTAATTTCCTTACTAGTGTTTATTTTGTGCTATATTCGTGTTTAAATACTCCTTGATTGTTCATTATCATTTCTTATTTGGGCGTTTCTACTTATTTTCTATACATGACCTTGAATTCTAGAAATTACACTTAAAAGACGAAGTTCTGCACCTTTTTTATTTTTCCAGAAGCAAGGGCGACCTAGTGGGCATGAAACTGGGCATGAAACTGGGCATGAAAGCGCTGACGTGGAATCCAGTCAGCATCTTCTAGAAGGTCCAATTAGCATTCTTGTGGAAGAGGAAGACTCAGGCATGAAACTGGGCATGAAACTGGGCATGAAAGCGCTGACGTGGAATCCAGTCAGCATCTTCTAGAAGGTCCAATTAGCATTCTTGTGGAAGAGGAAGACTCAGCCACAAATTCAAACTTTAAATTTGGAATTATCTTTATTTTGGATTTTATTTGGATAATTTTAGGATTTATCTTGAGTTGTTTCAATTATAATTCTCTAGGGTTTTAAGAGACTATAAATACCTCTTGGGGTAAGCCATAGAGTACAACCCGATTATTTCCAAACATTTCTTAGTTTACTTGTTCTTTTCTTTTTCTTAGTTTTATAAAATTCTTCTTCTTTTTATTTCGCTCTTCTTTTATTTTCAAGTTATTTTCTTTTAAAAATGCTGAGTATTATTTCTATTATGTTCAACTAAGTTTTTCAAAGCCAAAGTCTGAAGTGATGACTCAATTCCTATCTTGAGAATTGAAAAGCACCTCATACCCTTAGGGTTAAATTTCTCAATTTTTTGGAAACTAAATTGACGGATCATCTTTCTCAAAATCAAAACACTTTCACTTCAAAAATAGAGTTTGACTTGGATTTTGTTATGGTCTATTGTTGGGATTATAGAATCAACTGATTT